AAAGGAAAGTAAAATAAATAAATCAAATGATCAATTTATTTGCTAATAAATATTACGAATATCATTGTTTAACTTTAGACTATAAAATATCCAATTTTAAATAGCATATTACAATTTTAAGATAGATTATATATATTTGGACAGTATCTCACATAATAAATGAATGTATATATATATATGCCACTATATGTATATGCCACTCTTCTCATTACTATATATTTTAAATATTTAATATTCTCATAGCAGATATAATTCAATCGTTCGGAAGATTATTCAATTTCTTTGCATTTTATTACCAATACATTATAGAATATATGACCAGTACATGGAATAACTCGAGCAAAGTTTAACAATTTATTCATATTATAAATTATCTTTAGCGATAAAACGAAATATCGATGGTAGTTGTAGTTCGAAGTTTGTTAATGATTACGTAAATTTAGGAATAAATTTCAGTAGTCTAATAAGTATTTACGAAGTGTGAAAGTTTTCTTTTTTCAAATAATATCGCTTCAAATTTCATCCAGCCGTAGGTGTTGCAGCACTCGCAGGTTGTACAATGTATGTACATATGTAGCGTTCGTAATGTCACGCGTAGTTCCCATTGGTGGGCGAGGACTGGGACTAGCTACGCTGGCGTAGGTCGACGCCGTATGCGCTCAGTCGGTTGCGCGCCGGTTGGCTGTGTGGATGGGTTTGTGTGGATCGTTAATCGGTGGTTTTTGGTGTACTTCGACAGGTTTTTATGCGAGCACTCGGATAAAACGGTGTCGCGGACTATCCTCACGAGAAGGTAAGTGAAGAGTTTCGTTCGCTTTCATTCCGAAAACGCGTCCGCTCTCGTGTTTCACGACGATCGGTTGTCTCGTGACGGCTAACACTCCGGGGATAAAAATGGCGTGTGCCGCCTTTAAGCTTCCCCGATTTCTCTTCGTTTGAATTCTTCGTTAAGCGTGCCTGAACTCACGGTCGCGACACCGTTCGAACGTTGTTCGTGTTTCAACAAATTGACGGACACCGTTCGTCATTTATTTGCGATCGTTCTCGCCGGAACAATCGCAGCCTAAGAGTGCGGCAGCATCGATTCCAGCGATGAACCTGCCCACTCTACGATCAAATGAAACGTTCTTTTCTTGTGCGGTCTCGCTGACACGGCCACTTCTTACGTTTTTCGCGCGATCAGGCCGACTACCTTACGTCGGACGCGTACACGGTCCCATTCTATTATTCTCATTTCCATCCTCCGAAATAAGATCGCGATATCATTCGTGCGCGTTCGTTTGTAGCGCCTTAATTTCCGCTACACGGTATTCCATGAATGGTTTTGTTCACCTGTCAAGACGCCCTATATGTTGCTGACCTAATTTCGCTTCCTACTGAAAATCTGTCCGGCGTCGTGACAATGTCGAGCCGAGCCGAGCCGAGACGGCATACCGGACGTTTCTTTCTTCGTACATCTGAACAATTTTTACATAAATATTAAATAGTACGGTGAAAAAAGAATTTTGAAATGCGTCGGTTTTTTATCGAACGAATTACCATCATCGTACAATTGATAACTGTATCGTACCTCCGAAGATCACACTGTCTTTCCACGTCAATAATTCAGTACGTGGAAGTGTTATTACACCAGATAATGTAATCGCTTGCGTGTCGCATCGTTTATATTGATAAACGTGGTATTTAATCCTGATTTGTCGATCGCCATCGACCGAAATTAGTCGTTGGGGGCATCGGATTTTTTTAGACGGTGAGGATATGCCACCGGAAGGTGCGTGTCTCTGCAAAAATATCCGCGTTACAAAGCCGTACGATAAACATTATATTTATCCGTCGCTAACATTAATGACACTAATAACCTCATCGCGCATGTTAGTTGTTTGTTTATCGACGTTGTTATAACGTTGACACAGCTCCACCGGTTTCGTCACGGCACCGAATTTGTGGTTGAGTCATTGTTAAAAATCTGCAAATTGTTCTCGGTGCGTTAGAAATGTGTGTTTACCGAACTTGGTAACTAAGAAACCGTTATTCCACTAATCCTGGAGAAAGAACCATACTATAATATATTAATATAATAATATAATTATAATATATAATTTATAATAATATATAATAATAATATATAATATATTAATATAATTATAATATATACTATAATATACATACAGATTTGTAGTTACATTTTCTGACGATGTAACCAAATGTTTGAAACGAAATTTGAACGATATTACGCACGCGATACTGAAGTAGAAAAAAAACAACTAAAGCGGAGAACCAATTAATACAGATTTCTTCGATCAAGCAATTTCCTTCGTTCCTCCCAGTGTTGTGTTTACAGTTACGTCACCGTTGCCGGGCTTGGGCGTGTGCGCGTCTTCTTCGGCATAAATTAATAAATTAGTGTCGGCACCGATCATCGTTTCCGGATCGCGGTTTCGGCGACATCTGGCCTGTTCATCGCACCGGAACTACTTCCGGACGTTAACCTACGCGAGGCCTGGGTTACACACGACACCCCCAGTACTTTTGAACTGACCCCGAAAAGTGAACGTTTCTTTTGCCTGACTATTTTTTTTTCAGGGACAAAGCATGTCGATAATACAAACTTGTGAATATATGTATGTATGTATGTACTAGTATGTAAGAGATATTTTTATATTTTTCTCAAAATATATTTTAGTGTTTCTATTTTTTCGTTGCGAGCGAGCACCACGAAAAAATCGATTAGGTTATGAACATTATATGTATCAAATATTAACAAAATTTTTTATATAATATTATATAATAATATTAATATAATAATATTAACGAGTTAATATATATATAATAATATTAATATAATAATATTAATATAATAATATTAACAAATATTAACAAACAAGCGAAACGAAATTTACAGGAAACTTTTGTATGAGGAGAATATTTCGTTTGAACTTCAGTCAAGAGAAAATGTTTAAATTGTGGGCGTGGTGAAATTTCCAAAACTCGTGTCCACCACTTTAACGAGAAGAAATTTGTAATCTAGCAAAATGAAACAACCCCCAAGGGATGTAATATAGGCACAAAAAAAAAAGTATATGTATGTAAATAATTCGGCAAAATTTCGTAAAGATATATTACTTACAAGAGAAGATACCAAATCGGAAATTCAGAAAATTATGGGACATTTGAGAAAACATCGAGCATATACTTTTTCTATCACAATAACTACTTCGTTCGAATAAATTAATAAATTATTATATAATAATATATAATAATTGAATAATGAAAATAATATAATAATAATAATAATATAATATAATAATTGAATAATTGAATAATGAAAAATAATAAATAATTAGAAGCAAAAATAATTTTACTTATGACTTTTTCAATATTGATTGAATATTTATTTATACGAAAATCGAAATCATAAAAGTGTTGTCCACTGTTTCATTGTAGTAAATTAATCTTTGCTTTCTCTCTCTGGCGTGGGAGCATTATTCTTTAAAGTGGAAAGCAATTTATTAATTGTATCCAGTTACTCTGTACTAGGAAATGATAAACAGTTCCCAGGGAATCCCACAAGTACTCCCGTCTAAAAATATCCGCGGGACGTTTTTAACTCTTCTGCTCTGATTACCTTGACTGCACTTTTATGCAGTACAGGGAAACGGTATTACAACATAAAAAAAAAATTTATATCCGCGGGAACGTGTATGGACATTGAACCATATTTAACGATTTCCCAACTTTTACGTCTATTACAATTTATTTATTGTTATTCGAATATTATTTGAATTTGAATTTTTTACGTTGCAACACAATGAAAATATCGTACGATTTTAATAGATCATTGAACTCGTAAAACACAAATTGGCACGAAATAAATTTAACGACAATGTGTACACAAGTGCACGGCATGTTGTTTTTAGAAATGATATAGGTTCGTAGAATTTCAGTTGGCACAGAATCTATGGTTGAATGACAATTTTTTGGGACATTTGTGTTTGTTTTCCGTCTCGGTCGGAGTTCGTCCCTTGAATTTCGTGAAATTGTAACTGCTGAAAATGATTTCGATCATTCGATTTGCGCAATAATGCTCGTGCAACATCCGGAACCCTAACTTTCCTTTTTTACCGAGCAGTAATAGTCTCTCGGGACGCATCACGATCAGTCACGTTCTAGTTTATCGTTACATATCCAGCACACAGCCAATCAATGAACGCTAATCTAGTCATGTTAAACGGGCACCAACGAAGCCAGCGTTCTTTGGACCGGAAATGTAAACGTGATGTTCCAAACTATTTCGTTCTTTTCAAAACACTGTGTCACCAGAGTTGGGCATATTTATTTGAAATAAGATAACAAATGAACATTCAATATAATGGATCATTTCATATCTAAAACAATGGATTGTTTCACAATTATTTTACAAATAACATATGACAAGTAGTTTTATTTGCTTACTTCGTTCGAGTAAATTATTTGAAAATTTTCTACTTCAGATATTTTGCTTAACCTTTTAGGCACGACGCGCCACTATAGTGGCTTCCGCGGATGTCATCTTTCAGAACGACGCGCCACTATAGTGGCTTGCTCTAGTAGCTCACTCGCTCATCGTTTGAATCAAATAATCGCCTTCATATGCATTGTTCCACACTTCTTTTGTCTTCACATCGATTTACAACAGTCAACAGGGTGTCCCAAAAATGTCTCGCAATCCGAAAATGGCGGGTTCCTCGGATCATTTGAAGCAACTTCTTCCTTTACAAAAATGTTCTCCGAGGCACCGTTAACGAGTTATTAACGAAAAACAGTGACCAATAAGAATCGAGTACGGCTGACGCGAGGCGGCCCAGCCAACCAGCGCGCGAAGCCCAGTTCCGCTCATTGG